TGAATGCACCTGTGTCTTGTAATGCCATGGAGGTCAGAAGAGGGCTTTGGATTCCCCTGGAACTGGAGTTAAGGACGGTTCGTAGTCACCATGTGGGTGCTGGGGATCGAACCTGGGTCCTCTGCAAGAGCAGTCAGTGCCCTTAACCGCTGAGCCATCTCTCCAGCCCCTGGTGCACTGTTTTTGAGAGCTGTAGTTTTTCTGCCTTTATGAAAACATTTTAATTCTAAAGAGAACACTCTTATGTCTTTATCACACATTCCAGACATACTTTACCACATGACCAGGGAAGGGGTAGGGTGGTGCAGTTTAGCTTCCTGCTGGGTGTTTTGGGTGTTATAGGGCTGAGACCGCACACAAAGGAGGGGAAGGTGACTGTGCTGGTTGGCTTCAGTTGTCAGCTTGACACCTGGGAACACCTGGGAAGAACTTCACCAGGGGAAGTTCCTCTGTCTGATTGGCCTGTGGGCCTGTCTGCAAGCCGTTTTCTTGATTGCTGAGAGATGTGGGAGGGCTCAGCCCACTATGGGTGGTACCACCCCTGGGCAGATGAGCCTGGGTTGTATAAGCAAGTTGAGTATGGGTCATGGGAACAAGCCAGAAAGCAGCACTCCTCCGTGGGCTCTGCTTCAGCCTCTGCCTCCAGGACCCTGCCCTGGCTTCCCCTGATAAAGGACTCTACTGTAAGCTGAAATAAACCCTTTCCGTCCCAAGTTGGTCTTCGTCACAGTGTTTAGTCATAGCAACAGAAGGCAAACTAGGACTGTGGCAAAGCAGGGAAAGCAAAGCTGTGGAGCAGCAGAGAACCTCAGGGCCGGAGAGAGCACAGGAGCGTCCTGGCAAGCTGGCATGCCTTGGCTTTGCAGGGGGCCTTTGGGAGCAGAGGCAAGAGCTCAGGAGCAGCAAGGCCTTCTGGGGAGCTGTGACTCTAGGCAGTCTCCAGTCCCAAAAAGGAACAGTTCTGGTCTTTCTTGGTCCTGGTATAAGATATGGAAGATTCCTCATCGTGAGTAACCATGGTAGAACAGCCATTGACCATGACCAGGAGCTCTTGCAAGCCCTGCTGGCTTTGACCTGGGTTAAATGTACCCCTGGGGAAGTCAGGGCTGTGGAGAGAACCGGGTGGGGGGCAGCTGTGGTGAGAGCCAAAAGAGCTGGTCTCAGTTTCCATAGTGACCTGTGCAGAAGAGTGCTGGGGTCAGAAGTGACATCTTAGCTGCACCTCAGTCAAAAAAGAAAGTGACCAGGCTTGGTGGCGCACGCCTTTAATCCCAGCACTCCCCTGTAGGCAGAGGCAAGGGGGTCTCTGTAAGTTAAAGGTCAGCCAGCTGGGCTTCATCCTGAGACCCTATCTCAAAAAACCAAAACTAAAATAAAATTGTTGAGATTGGGGGCTGGGGAGATGGCTCAGCAGTTAAGAACACTGGTTGCTCTTGCAGAAGACCTGGGTTCAAATCCAAGCACCCACATGGCAGCTAACAACTGTCCATAATTCCAGTTCCAGGGGATCCGACAGCCTCTTCTGTCCTCCGCAGGCATTGCACGACACAGGTGCACTTACCTACACAAGCATACACATAAAAAATAAAAGTAATAAATTTTTTTAAAAAATTGTTGAGGTTGGAGAGATGGCTCAGCAGTTAAGGGCACTGGCTACTCTTGCAGAGGACCCGAGCTCAGTTCCCAGCACCAACATAGTAACTAACAACTGTCTGTAGCTCCAGTTCCAGGGGATCTGACACCCTCTTCTGGCCTCTGCAGGCGTTGCACACACGTGATATACATATGTGCAGGGGGAGCATAAACTAAAAATTTTTAAATATTTAAAAAGCAATTACTGCCGGGCATGGTGGCACACACTTTTAATCCCAGCACTCTGGAGGCAGAGTCAGGCAGATCTCTGAGTTCAAGGCCAGCCTGGTCTACATAGTGAGTTCCGGGACAGCTAGGGCTACAGGGAGACCCTGTCTTAAAAAGACCAAAAAAAAAAAAGCAATTACTAAACCTACTGCTATTTGTGCCCTTTTGTGTTCCCACCAGCAAGCACTCAGAGTGCTTTTGGGCTGCTCCTCTCTACCAGTGTTTGGTGTTGTCAGTAACTTTAAAGAGATTTTAGAGAAAGAAGCCTAGTATTTGGTCCTATAGCTTGGCTCTCACTGGGCCTTGGCCCTAATCCATCCACGTGGCCAGCAGGAGTGAAAGATGCAATCACAGTGTGGGAGGCTCAGGAGCATCATCCTGGACTTGCAGCAGGTGGCCTTGTCATGAGGGACAGCCTATAAAAGCCCACTGAGCAGCCAAGGTCAACTGAGCCTCTTGGGATGGTACTGAGCTGAAATCAGAATCCTCATGTAAGACCAGAAACTCACCAAAACATTAGGGCAGCTGAGTGGCTGCAGAAGGCTTGGTGGAAACTAGTCTTTTCCTGTACTGTGTTCTGTTCCAAGGGGCTTGTGACAGGAGTTACAGTTGCTGGCAGTCAGAGGGGAGAGGGCATGGGTGGTCCAGCCTCCTATGGATTTCTCTGGGGTACCGAATCGACAGCACCCATCCAGATGGGGACCCTGTTGCCCTGCTAGGCCTCCCATGCTTGGCTTCCCTTGTATTTGATGGTGGTGGTATTGGAGGCAAGGGACAAGGACAGCTCTGGGTTGCATATGAATGCTGGGCCAGCTGGGGTACTTTTGCAGGCCCACTGTCTCCAAGCAGCAAGGTGAAGGTCACTGGTAGGGATCCAGGTGGGGCTGAGCACAGGGACCTGGGACATTTAACTTCCTAGGCATGGCCCCTGCTGCCGAGAACCCTGCATTAGTTACTTTTATGTTGCTGGGACCAAACGCCTGACAGAAATAGCTTTAAGGGAAGGAGATTTTATTTTGGCTCACAGTTTCAGAGAGTTTGGTCCCTCATGGTGGGAAAGGCACAAGTCTATCATAGTGGGAGGGAAAAGCAGCTTACAATGTGGCAGACGTGGAGAGACAGGAAGGACTGCCTTTCTCCT